CTCGTAGCTACCCTATGAACAAAAGGCCTGAATCCTGCCCTAGCCTATTTCCTTATTAAAGCGTCTCAACTAATCTAACATGAATTACTCTAATTTCCTTTATTTTTGCATCCCGGCAAAATGTTCTTAATAGATCGCTAAGAAATTGTAATGTCCAAGAGCATCATAGCCGAGATCTTTTACTATCTGTTTCATTTTAGATCCCTTCTCCTTCTGGCTTCCTTGGGATTGCCGCACCTACATGAAGGAGAATTCCGTTTTGTGATGTCACAGTTTCTGGCAGAGATTGGTAGTTAATGAGAGAGCTAGAATTGGGCTGTAGAGCATGTTCTACTGCTAACTAAAAGGCTACATGGATCTGTTCAGTGGCTTCTTGGGAAAGAAATAGATAGTCTCCTCTCATTATGATGATTATCTGGATGACAACAGTCCAGAATAAGAGGTGCAAAGTGGACTGGGGGAAGGTAATTGGGAGAGGGGGAGGAAGTAATGCAACAATGAATGACTATTTTTTTAAAAAAAGTGAACTGGGGGTAGGTAGGGAGGAAAATGTGCAACAATGAGTGAATGAAACTTCAACTTTTCTGTAAACTTTTGTTAAAATCACAATAAAGAGAGAGAGAGAGAGAGAGAGAGAGAGAGAGAGAGAGAGAGAGAGAGAGAGGATTTATAGTATTAGAAACCTAAGACAGGAGAGCTGTAAATCAGAGATGACTCCATGTTGGTGAGTTTTATGGAGCTAGAAAGATGTCAAGTACAGATGAATAAATCTAGTAAGCTCAGTCACTTTGGTCAATTAACTTTTCTAGAGCTTGTATCTTTCCCTATAAAATTTGTCAGTAGAACTAAGTACTCCTTAATTTTCCTTCCAGGACCAAATAAGTACATGTACAAAGCGACACAATCTAAGGTTATTTTTAAAGTTGGAGACATGTTTATGCCTAGTCAAGCTGCATTCTAAGTTGTTCTCCCTCTGACCGGGTGGATTTATTTGGGTTCAGTGTTTTATCTGGTCATAGAGATCCATCACACCAAGCCCAAGTATAGTCTTCCACTTTGGCCTCAATTCTTTGTGCCTGATGCTATGTAGTAACTCAATACAGAAAAGAATGTTTTCAAATTAACTAGCTAATAGTTTAGACAATTTCTCTTGGGAACATGTTTAAGACAATTAAACTTGAATTCTTCATTTGTCCATTTGTTGTTGTTGTTGTTGTTGTTATGTGCCGTCGAGTAGTTTCCGACTCATAGCGACCCTATGCACAAGAGCCCTAAACCCTGCTCTATCCTGCGCCAACCGCACCGCCTCTGAAACACCCATCCCTATTAACCCAGTCACTGAATCCATCCATCTCATAGAGGGTCTTCCCCTCCTGTGTTGTCCCTCAACCCTCCCAAGCATGATGTCCCTCTCCAAGGACCCGTCTCTCCTGGCAACATGTCCAAAGTATGTCAGACAAAGC